ATTCAGCCATAAGACCAGACTATCCAGTAAATAGTTATGGGAGTTAAACTCTTCATGACCATTAAAGTTCATGTTCTTTTTCAAATACATTACGACCATTCGATTTATTAGAAGTTCAAAATCGTTATAAAAATGCATTAAAACTTAAAAAAAAAAAAAAAAAAAAAAAAAAAAAAAAAATACAAATACAAATACCCCTTAAATTATAGAATTAATGGAATGAATAATGAAAAAGGGAATTACAAACAGTAAACAATGTTCTTTATGGTTTGAAATGATCAGCATCACATTTAAGAAAAATGTAACAAAAGTTACAGTAAAACTCAAATTATAAATATAAATATATTCATTGCTTGCCGCATACTGCTATTACGATATCATTATTCGGATAAGTAAAAGTATGAACCTAAACTAGCTCACTAAACAGTGGCTATTATTATTATTTTAATTTGAGAAAGATATTTGAATAACATATTTTAGTAAAATAATAATTTATTTTCTGAAGAAGAAAAGATACAGATATTTAGCAACAGCTATTTTATCTGTGAGTAGACAATACTGATAAGCCTGAAGTACAGTATAAAATTCTTTTTTTTTTTCTTAATTACACGACTAGGAAGAGAAAGTATGTAGTCAAATCACTAAACTCCAGTATAAAGAATCAATGAAAGGGGAAAGTAAAATTCTCTTGTCACAAAATGTATGACTAGTGGTTAGAAAAACATCTGCTATGCGATTTTTCTGGCACGTTACTTATATTTTCAATAAATAACCCTACTGGAATAAAAGCTCTTTGGCGAGTTCTGTATTATATACCATCTGGCGGAAGTAGACAGTAGAGACTACACCTGTTCCAAAATCAGGAAATTAAGGGAGGGTGATATTAAACTTGTGGCAGTTTTAAGGTTCACTAAAAAAAATTTATTTAATTCTTTCCTTTCTGATTCTTTTCATTGTGAGGCCGCTCGTTTCGTAATTTATGTAGATTTTGAGCGGCAAGCAGTTTGACTATAAAGTGTAGAACTTTACGAATAAGAGCGGGGGAATTTTGCCTCCTTTCGTTGCCCTGCCAGACAGGAAGGAAAAGCTACTAGCGACCTAAAGCCGCTCTTTAGACTAGCTTTTTCGCCCTATGCATCGCTTTCAGAATTGCAAGACGATATTCCCCCTATTCTCCCAACTCGAAAAATATATATACATATAATTTAAATTTCGATTCTTTTTTAATGTGCTTTATAAATTAAGCAAGAAAAGGTATAGAAAATATTGATAAACCAAAACTTGAATCAAAGCAATTTTTATATTCATAAATTAAATACTTAATAGCGGAATAAAAGGCTGACCGCATCCCCTTTCCGAAATTGTGAAATTCTCGACTCACCCAAGGAGGAATATCCCATTCGTTGAAAACCCCCGTTTTAAATCCAGTTTGATAAGGGTGTGCGTTCGAAATTCTGTCGCGGTAAGCTTGTAATCTCGACTTAGGTTAGATTAAAATTGTTAAATGTGTTATCTAGTTTTTTGGAAGGATTTATGTTAAAACCAGGTACAGGTTATAAGGTATTTCTCCCTCTTTCCTAGCGTGCCTTCGTGGTGTAGTGGTTCTGGATGCTGGGCTGGTATTCTAGAGGTCCGTGGTTCGATTACCGGCGAAGGCGGTTGCTAATTTTTCATCTCTCCGGCATCCAAAAATTACCTAATGTCTCTACAAAGTTGGCTAGTAATTTTCTTATACACTGAAGGTTTTCAAATAGATATATGGAAATTGTTTTGCAAGTTAACAAACCCTTTAATCTAAAAGTATTAAAAAAGTGTAAAATATCTAATATATAATATAAAACGTTTGAAAAGACTAACTCATTTTATCGCTTATTAACGTAGAATTAAGATAAATCTTTTATAGAAAATGTTAAAATTTCGATAGATATGAACACTTTGAGACTGCACATTAACAGCATTTGCAGACGAACAGACGTAAAGATGTAGTATTAAACAGCTTCGGCATAAAATTAAATTACGCATAATGCTGTTATTAACAATTTTTAAGCTATCCCCTGATGCTAGTGTTACAGTGAATTCAAGCATTATAGCTGTTTACTTGAAACTGCGTTTGAGATTAATCTGTTTCTCTTGAAACAAAAATTCTGATGCGGACACCACATGACTTCCTTGTACGGAATATTAAATTATACGCATTTTTTATGCATTCCATTTAAACTTATTTCTCGAATTTCATTAGAAACAGATTTCTCATTCAATTAATTCAGTTCTCACTTAGCAGGAAGTCAAAAATGGACAAAAATTCAAAATATCTTCGTTGAAAATTGAAAAATAGAGAAAAAATAAAACACCAAATCTAGTTAAAACAATTTTTATAGTTAAAATTACAATTTCTACGCAAAAAAAAGCAATTCGGCAAGCAGACCACAAGGCAGATTTTTCGTTGAATAAAACAGAGTGTATACTTTTGGTCCCACTCAGCAAGAAAACATTGAAGGTGCATAAACTGAATTCACTATTCTGTTAAGTTTCAAATATAAACAAAAATGGCTGCTATGGTAAACAAAAATTAGGCTTAGCAGCATTTAAAAAGCTTTTAAATTGTTCATTATTCTACATCTATGGTATGTAGATTAACTAAAGGCATAAGAACTTAACCGGAAGATAAGAATAACATAATTCAATCGTTTTTTTTAAAGCAGAAAATGCACAATTTACCAGCATATAAAATGGAAAAAAAAAAAAAAAAAAAAAAAAAAAAAAAAAAAAAAAAAAACTGAGCTGACCGAGCCGTGTAACAGAATGGGTATATATATATATATATATATCCATATATTTATTTATATAATTTTTGTACGGCCGATTGCAACCGAAATGGAAGGTGCACAACTGCATATTATAAAAGTGCCATATACAAAATAATCAACGTTCTGAGACTACTAGTTTTTATGCGAGATAAGTACATACATACGTACGTACAGATCTGACGAAAAAATCTCTTCTTAATTTATTTTAAATCAGTTTTTTAATCCGTTTGGAAAAAAAGAGTTCTTTATTATATCCTTACGTACAAAGGTCACGCAAAAAAATTGTTAAATTGCATTCGATAGCGGCCAAAATGGATATTTTCGTTGAAATATGATACCTGGAATTTTTAATGATTGCAATACTTCTTTTACTTCGTATAAGGAAGTAAAAACTAAGCTTCGCAATAAAATTCAACATATTGACACTACAGTGAATCATGATCTTGTTACTCTTTCAATTATTTCTGATAGTGTTTAAAGTATTACTGTAACAATGAAACAGCATCACAGATCTCTTATAGCTATCACGAAATACGCTGAAATTGTAAAGAGAGATCAGGAAAATTTAGGATTCATCATATGTCTAAAATTTATAAATGTCATAAGTAATAAAAGAATCCAGATGCTTACAAGATTATCTGTGATTTAGCTTAAAAGAATTTCAAACACGTAAAAAAGATATCAGAGATATGTGCATTCTTAATAACTCTGTATATAAACATTTCCAGTTTAATTCAACATTTAAGTTAGTTTAAAATAAACAACAGAAAACAGAGTGTTGAAATTTCATTTAGAGAGGAATGCATTTTGTAATTACTATCGTTTCTTAATCATCAATGATGGGAAGAACTGTAAAATTATTATAATACATAATTAATAGTTCCTGAAAGTAGTCGCCGCCTTTGTTCGAAATACATAACTGTTAAATGCTCGAATTGCACAAACTCGAAACTTCTAGAAAGCGAAGGAAGCCAGAAAATTTTCTTGTGATAAGAACATTAAAAGAGTGGCGTAAAATATCAGTTTGCCCTTCAAAGGAAGGTAATGCTTCATAATTAAAATGCAACTTATTGTCGGTTTCATAAAGCTTATAAATTTATATGGAATTAAATGAAAATTTTCTTGAGAAGGTATAGGGTCTTATACGGATAATAGTAATTCAGAGCCCTTCAGACCCTATAGATAATAGTAATTCAGAGACTTGCAAGCGAATAATCGCACTGTCCGGACAACAAAATTTTAAGAAGATTTTTAAATCTTCTTAAAATTTTGTTATTTTATTTATCTTTTTATTTAATCTTGAAATGAACAGAAAGCACAACTTGTGCATAAGAAACAAACTCTGCCACTCTGCGGATACTTAGAATAATAAACTTGAAATTTCAAATTGAAAGTAAGTAGTCGAAGGCTACACAAATTGGTTTATTTAAGTTGCTAAGAGCTTTAAATGGCGCGTGTTAACGTCGGCTAGCAAAATGGCTAAAGTCGGAATATTATTGCGCAGTAACTCAGCAGCAGAAAATAAAGCTAAGAAATGCCGCTGTCAGAGGGCAAGCAGAAACAAGAAGTTATAGAGAGATTCAAATCATAAAAAAATGTTTATTTAATATAAAATACATTATAAAATCACAGAATATGATGCCACTCAGTAAATTATTTCTTTCCTCAGTAAATTATCTTTCACATGAATTGTGAAGGACTACGTGCACCAACAATAATGAATATTTTAGAGATGAAAAGTTCACAAGGAATAATTTGTAAAAGATTCTAATTAGAATTATTTCATTATTGTAATTTCCAATATGAAATATCGGGATATTTAAAAATTAATTAGATCTTTTTAAAAGGATGAGTAATAAAAGATATATAAAATTTCTAAAGTGACTGAAATAAGGAAATAAGTTCTGAATCAGTAGGATTGAAATCAGACGAGAAATATTTTTAAATTTTTTTTCTCAGTAAATATTTTTCGCTATACTGTGCATTTTTCATAGTTGAATTATGATAAATAAGATTTTTTATTGCTGTTTATTTTATTATTTTATCTGACCCAAAAAGTTTTTTAAAGATATTTTTATGCCTCATTTTTAAGTCGACACGATTCACTTATCATTATAATCTTCACTTTTATTAAGTATAGCATAAGACAGGTGTATGTATACAAAACATTTAAAGATCTGTGTCTGTATATAGGTTATTTCTGCACAGTACAGTAGTGGATTTCATCGTCGATACTACATATATCGAAGGCCAGCCAGCAATTATCCCCCGAATGTTGATTTAAGGAACTATTTTGCTTCTGCTTCTGATGTACAGCAAACCGCTGTGGCTTCTCCTACTGTAAGTGGTTCTAGATCAAGTACCAACCCCGAGAAGGTGCAGCTAGACATCTATTACGAAACCGACTGTCCAGACAGTATGCGATTTCTGACTCGCCAGCTCTATCCACTCTACAGGGAAATGGAAGGCATACTTGATATACGCCTGATTCCTTATGGTAAAGCAAGAGTAAGTAGTCCAAATATGCTTTTTAAAAATAAATATAAGAAATATTATTAAAATATACTCCTGCTTTTATGAGTTAAGCTGCTTACCTTTCATATTCAAAATGAATTTAGTAAAATATTTTATTACTTATTGGTAGGAAAAGAAATATCTTTTTGTTGAAGAACTAATGAAGATGTGAAGCGGGGAGAACTTGTATAGTTTTACTGTACAGGGGCTTAAACAATGTCCTTGAGATCCTACTGATTGCCACCTGAGATAACCACTGACCTGACTTTGTTCTAAAAGTCTTACAGTGTTAATAGTTAACCTGGCAGAAGGGGCTATTTCTTCTGTATAAAAAAATAATTATTACATCGGCATACAAGGCCTGCTGTGATACTTATGTCGCAATATGAAGCAAACTCCATTGATGGGAACACAGCAATAAACTTTTATTTAACACTCAAAATGGCGACATACAAACAAGAAGAGAAAATGTATCCTAAACATTTAAAAATAGAATAAAATAAATACATTCTTCGTGCGAGAGCCACACATGGCTCTCAAGCCAGCGTTTCAAACATTGCCGTTAACATATAGCTTAAAGTTTATTTATTTTAAATTATAAGATTTTAATAACAATATTTAAAGCTATTACACTGCGTATATGCATAGATATGTTAATTACAGACATTGTCTTGTACAAGTTACATGAGATAGTTAGATATAATCATGACAGTTATATGCACATTTAAACATTATCTGGATTCATATTTACAATGCTTTTACTGAGATATTCAAAGTAAACTTGTAATTCAGTTACACGTTGACTGGAGTTTCTATGTCATTTTGAATTGCTTTACAAAATTATTTTGAACAAGTATATGCAAAATGGGCAGCGATAAGCTTACATTACAATAGTTTTTGCTCTTACAGTAAAGTTACTATTCTACGAGGCGAGCTATTTTTCTAATGTTGATTTTTAGTTGCTGTGGTACTGTTTGGCTTAAACTGGGTAGGGAGTTACGTAACTCAGTTTTCTGGGACCTTAGCTCATTCGCGTTTAAAAGTTGCAACTGCTATTATAGTTGTAGTACCTATCAAGGGAGATTCTTTGTTACTGTAAAAGTTCTAAATCGAAAACGTTCAAACTCTCAGCTTAAATACTTAACAACTAATTTGCATTCTGATCAGGGTTACGAAGAATAAAGACGCTATAGATAATATGGAAAGGGGAAGTCATAGTAAAGATTCAAATCGTAATAATTGGTTAATTAACATAAATCTTACGAACTTGCTTTGTGAAAAAAAATCAGGTTTCAGGCTATTACCTAGGAGGGGATTTTTAACATTAAATAAATTAAGACTTAAGCCATTCAGAAGAAATTTTACCATTAAATACAATGCCTAGTAAACAATTGATAAAACTAAATCGGTACTGTTTTAAGCCGCTTCCATAGCCAATCTATAATAGTTAGTACTGAAAAAAAAAATACGAAATGTTTTTTATCAATCAACTGAAAAAAAATACGAAATGTTTTTTATCAATTAACTGAAAAAAATACGAAATGTTTTTTATCAATCAACTGAAAAAAATACGAAATGTTTTTTATCAATCAACGGAATTCAGCTGGCATAGCTTCATAAAAATATTTAATTATTTTCACAGTAAAACAAAAATATTGGTTTTGTAATTACCCTAATTTAATCAATTGCTCCAGTCAAATGATTTTAGATTTTAATTGAAGTAGAAAATACATAATGAGCTGTAATGTATACTCAACTTGCTCTATAATTTCTTTAATATGACAATTACTTTTAGCTATGTTGTGAAAAGAAGTGGAAAGACGAAAAATGCTTTAAAGGATTTTATAGTTTAATGCATTAAAAAAGCTTATTATTTAACAATGAATTACGGAAATTAAATGTGAAGAGAATCCTTTTATATTTCTTTCCGTCATATCTTCTGAACTATTTTTGGTATGTTATTTCATTTTCCAGAACATATTAGAAGTAAATTCAGATATCTATTGTTTTATTTCATTTTTTATTTATTTAGTTTTTTGAAGAATTCGATAGCTTCCTTGCTATCGAATAAAATTCCATAGTATTCATTTTACCTATGCAACGAAACCTGGCAAATTTCTGTCAAAGAACATTAAAAAAAGTCAGGACTGGAGTTTAATGATAATATAAAATATAGAACACACTGGAGCACCTAGATACTGAATTATTTCAGTACAGGGGGGAATTATTAGAGCCGTTCAGCTTGGTAACGTAATTGCATCCTAATTCTTCAGATTGCGTCATAATTAATACTTTAAAAAAGGATTTGTCTTTAAAAAAATGTTAAAAGGTGCAATCTTCTAGATATTTAAAATACTATTGTGTTTGTTGAAAAACATCATATGGAATATTTTAAAAAATCAGTCCTTATATAAAATCAGGCTTTGTAAATGAAAAATGCTATTTAGTGAAGAATAACTAAAGATTTATTAAATCGTAATGCAGTTTACTCAACCTGTGTTGCGATACACTGCTGTGCTAGAAATTCAATGTCCGTTACAAAATTTGAAAATTTACTTATGAATTTAACGACATTCAGATATATTTTACAAAAATCTATGATTATATGCTAACCATGAAGCTGCTAATGCGTTTCATTTTGAGATAGGCATTGCCAAACTGTGAATGCCTACAACAATGCTAATTTATTATTGTCGCTTCTGCAAATTAGACGATTGCAACTGATCGAGGTGCATAGTAATGTGTAGTTATTAGTTCAGTTTTCTACTGTACAATAAACAGAGCAGGTCTACCATAAAGCGAAACATTTAAACGCATTAGCATTGCCAATTTGGATTTTTGAGTACACTACAGTCGAAAACAGGGCGATTAGTTTTTCTTTCAGAATGCATTGTCACACTTGTACATATTATCTATTTCAAAACAAAAAAGAGAAAATCTAAACAAAAAACTGTCACATCTTAAAGATGAACCGCGTTTTATTTTCTTAACTTGAAACTCGAAAATCTGTTGAAAACGGGTAGCTCCTATTTATAATTAATTAAAAATTACTTAACATAATACTAATACTAATGATTAGAACTTCAAATCTCTGGTGGACAAGACATAGCGTTTCAGTTCTGTCAACTATTATCTGGAAAAGATTGAAAACTATTTTCATATTAGAAATGCTATGGTTGTTTCGTTGATCGTTGTGAAATTTTACGTCCTTAAATCTTTGAATACATATTAGGTTTGACGGCGAAATTCTATGAATTTTCTTAAATTTTACTTCATGAAATAATAGCTTTTTTCACAATAACTCTTACGAAATTTTGTTTCATTAATTTTTAATCATGAAACGAAAGTTTCTTTGAGAGCAACCAAAATAATCACAATTTTAATGCAATAGGAAAGTCGCTTGTGGCGACATCTGTTGAGGATGAAAGTAACTTAGTTAATTAACTAAAATAGTGTCTCTAAAATTATGCTTCGTTATGCTTTGGTAAGTCATTCTTGTATTGTTGGGAAAGTATGTCGGTTTTACAATATGGGTTTATTATCGCAATATTGACCTTATTGCTTATGATGCCTTGTTTATTATTTATTATATAATAGTACACACTTATGTATTATTATTGCATTTACGTATTTTAATTGCAAATATTATGTTATTATTTCCCTCTTTGTGTGTTACATCCGAATGTAGCAATATAGTATTGTTAATAAGCATTCACGTTTTAATGAAGACAAAGTTTCTCAGGATGTTGCGAGTCTAAACATTTTAAGTCCCATATCTCAAACAATCTTTTAGTGGCGACATCTAGTAGCAATATCTAAAACTTAATTATTTAAATTCATACTCAATTAAAACAGATAATTTGGAAACGTAAAATCTGAAACTGTGAAACATGCCGAAATAAAATTTAAAATTAGGTAATAAATATTAATTTGGCTTAACGTTCACTTGCAAGGTTTGGTTTTAGCTCTGTGGTAGAATAAATCATAAAAGCTTGATTAATGTGTTAAATGAAAGCTGTGAAAAAGCAATCATCTGAAGGATTTCATAGAGTAGTTCTGAATATAATTGCTGTACTCTCACTGACCGTCTAAATATACAAAAATTTGCAAACACGTTTATATTAAATGACTTTATTAATTTAAAATAAGAAACGATGTCGTATAATTATGCTGCCATGGTTTATCAATGATAAATAACATGCTAACATTTTTAGAAGCAGTATTATGTTTATTTTTGAAAGGTTTTTAACACATTTTTTTAAAACAAAATTGTCAATTTCTATGTAGAAATTAAATTATCTCTAGATAAAAAATGAAGAAATTAGAAATTTCGAGGTAAATTTAAAGAAATTTAATTATGTGAAATATCTTATCTTACAAATTTATCTTACAAAATATTAAATGTGAAATTGATATGCAATTTTAGGTAATATACAAAAAAAAAAAAAAAAAAAAAAAAATAAAAATAAAAAATAAGTTCCATGTGAAATGCTGCGAAATTAGGGTAAATTTAATCGAATTAGTTTGCCATTACTCTAAAAGTAAAATTTAATTTTTCTATATATGTTTTTCTAAGTATGTCGAAAAGAAGCATTTATTACATTAACATCTGTGAAATTTACGTCATTTATTTGCATTACTCACCTTGTTTTACTTTCGTGTAATAATAATGAAATAGAAAATTCAAATAATTTGAATTTTTATTATTTTTTTTGTCGAACATATGGTTAAATGTCGTTTTAAAGCATAGCTTGATGGCAAACATTAATCTCGCTGTTTAACACTGATTTCAAAATGACATTTAATAATGTTTTATATTTACATTTTAGGAATATTATAACACTGAAACGAAGAAATATGACTTTATGTGTCATCATGGACCATCCGAATGTTATGGAAATACTGTTCAGGTGATTGAAATTTTAAATTCTTTCAAGAATTGTATTCAATATTTTATAGTCCTGAATTTAATATTACTGAGTTATTTTATCTGAATTTTATTTACGTTCATTCTGGAAATCAAACACAAAAGAACTTTCACACAAAGATACTTTTGTGTGAAAATTGTTTACGATTTATTAAACATAAATTCTCTGTGACTAATGCTTTAAAGGTCTAAAGTTGGCATGAATGACAGATGTAAATACGGTGTTTGACTGCACCAGTTTATTAACCAAGAACAATTCAGTACTTTTATTAAGTTGTTAAGGGCATTATCTGATCACACATTTCTTCACAAATCTCAAATCGGAAGCGACGAAGCGACGCAATAACAAGAATTGAAAGCGACGATGTAATGAAAAGTAATATCACAGAGAAGTAAATTTAGATTAAAATTAGACAAGAAAGCAAACAATAAGCAATACATGCTAAATAAGGTTTTACGTTTAAAATAACTGATGCCAGTTAATTTTATATTGGGAAATGTCATTCAGAAAGATAATCTGATATTTTTAATATTATAAGAAATTCAGAGAAAAACTAAAGAATAAGAGTATTTTATTTGGAATTTTGCTCAGTGTAAATTAGGCTTATAGTATTTAAAAGAATTTAGAATAATTAATGCAATTTACTGTTTTAATTTAATTTTTATTTTAAATACATGACTAGTCAATTGTGTGAACTAGTTCAAGGACATGATACTCATATATACTCGGTAAATAGAGGGAAAATTAATTTTTCTGTGGTTATATAAAAAAAATCTAATCTAATCCGTTTTTTCAAAATGATATACCAGTAAAAGGGTCTGAAGAATTCAAGGAACTATTTTCTATCATAATTTGCATACTAGTCTGATAAGAGTTTCTTTTTTTCTTTCTCATTACTACTTAAAAAAATAAATTTTAAATTTTATTAAAATTATCGAAATGAGAATAGCGTGCACTGAATAATGTATTAAGTTTTGTTTACCATTTAATGTTTCTAATTTATTATAATTAGTTTAATGTATAGATTTGTTTCCCTTGCAGAGTTGCGTCATTTCTTTGTATCCAGAAAAGAAAGATCAAATGAATTTCATTGATTGCATGGAGAATTATCCACGACCATCACAGAGCGCATCAAAAGTAAGTTTGCTCACTTAATTATGTATATTATGATTTACTTCAGGAATGGGATCCATACAAAGGATGTACTTTATTCTTAAATTTGTGTCCATATGAATTTATTTTGTTTAAAAAATGATCATGATATAATTTCATAAATATAGCAACTGTTTAAGCACGAGTCTTAAGATTCTTTGAAGATTTTTCACCAAGAAGAAAAAAAAATTTCAAAATGGCAGCAATCTAAAATAAAGTAAATGTATGCAAGAATTTAGCAAATTCTCCTAAAAGTATAAGCTGATTTCTATTCTTTATCATGAATATAATTTTACTGCGACACTTTCATAAGGAACGACTATTTTAATCATTTTCTGCTGATTGAGCTATCTGTAAAATGATAGGTGAACTTAGGTTAAAAGCTGTTAATTAATCATGATAAAAAATATAATTTTCCCTGCTACTTACTCTCGTCTTCAATGCTGATGCGGCAATATTTAACTATTTGTAACATTATTATTCACAGAAATTTCAAAAAAGATAGCAAAAATAAGTTGCTAGCTTTCGGAAGTAAATTTGAAACACCATGACTTTTCCCCCTTAAGGAGTGAAGGATAGAATTAGATGTTTATGAAGACATAATTTATTCACAAAAATTACTACTCTATCTAGAGTCCCTGACAAAATATGAGAGAAAGTATAAAATTTTTAAATAGAAATTTTCATATTTATCTGGAAGCGAATAATAGAATTCAAAAATTCCTTTTTAGAAAAACATATCCTATTAAGACAGTTTTTAGAAATACCACTTTGAATGGAAATTTTTACAGCAGCATTAAATTAAATTGCAGCAGCTGCAAATATTCGTGTATTTTATTACATGCAAATGAAATTATTTTCTTTCCCACAGGAAAATTACTACATGCCATACTGAAATAATGTCACTTTTGAAAAAATAGCTAAAAATTGAATATTTTAAAATGTTAACACTCAGTATCTTGTAGAATCCATTAGTATTTTGCAAACTGATCTAGTTACTCACAATAAGGAATTTTATAATTTTAAATTGTTACTGAACTTTGAAGTCACTCGAAAAATTGATTTATTCCCAAATCAGATTAAATAATTACTTAATATTTTATTAGTTCTTACAAGTAGTGGATTCAAAGTAATGATCTAATCTTGTAATCTGTAGAATCCTAGCTACGTAGATGCTTAACCCAATGTCCTTCAGATCCTACTAAACTAACAAGCGATTTATCGCTGGAGTCAGAATTAAAATGGTGAAAAGTATTTCGAAGACTTTTTTTTTTACTAATTCTTAAAATTTAACAGAAGGCACCACTAGTGTTGCAAAACGAAACTCCTCCACTTGCGGGTATTTAAAATAAGCAAGTAAGTGGTAAGTAAGGGGAAGTAAGTAAGTGGAAGTTTAAGTAAGTAAGTAAGTGGAAGTTTAAATTCAAGTAACATAGTCTAGAACTACACATAAAATAGTTTGCTTAAGCTGGCTGAATTATTTAACGGCAAATTTCGAACGTTGGATAGCAAAATGGCTCAAAACTGGACTAAACTTTCGCAGAGCTGGCAGTATGACGTAAACTGCGAGAGACGCTGCCCAAAACTATAAAATATTCAAACTCTCGGCTTAAATACTTTACAACTAATTTGCATTGTGTTGAGGACTATATAAAGAAGAAGGTATAGTAAAGTTTCAAATCATAATAATTGGTTAATTAGCATAAAATCCTACTAATCAATCAAAACTTCCTTTTAATGATTATCAAGAATTTATATACTTCGTTTTCTTTTACAGTGTGCTCGCAGAATGAGTCTAGATTGGAATAAAATTGAGAAATGTGCTTCTGGAGATGAAGGAAATAGGCTTCTTCATGAAAATGCTCAACTGACGGAGAACCTCAACCCTCCACTTTATTTCGTGCCATGGATCGTCGTTAACAAGGTACTGTAAACAATTACGAATAGCTATAGTTGCATGTTGAAAGATATCTGATAGGTTTTGATCTCTGATAGGTAAATCAAATATAGTTTAATAATTTGAATAAAGCAGAAAAACAGAAGTTTGAGATTATTGTTATAAATGAAATATGGCATTCAAATTCATAAATAAGAATTTTATTCTGAGCAACATCACAGTGACAGAAAACCTGATTACTGGATGAAAGCATTCCGCAATTTTGGCTTGTGAGCCTAAATTTTATAACATAGCCATTAAAGAATAAAACACTCCAATAGATATCATTAAAGAATGAAACACTTGAATAGACAAAAAGTTAAAGAATGAAATACTTGGATAAGTAAATAATTAGAGAATGAACACTAAAACGCTGAATAAAACATTTAATTGGGCGAAGAGGAAAAACGATCTGTTTGGGAAAATTTTTATAGATTTCATAAAACTAATTGCGTTCATCATGCATATCATGATTATCAAGGATTTACATTTTCTAGCTGATGAAATCCTAACTGCGGTTATCCTGAATACTTTTTTAAAAGTTTTCACATATGAGCTTTAATTGAATACAATCATAATTTAAACAAAATCATGACTAAACAAAGTAATTTTGTTTTATTTCTGCCCAAAACTATAATTTCCATCTTTACTTGAAACAGTGTATTTGATAAAAACATTTATCTAAGTAAGCTACTACAAGCTATATGTGAATATGTTAAATGAAATGCTAAATTATAATGAGAAACTGTGTGTATTTTAACTCAAATAATAATTTGTTTCATAATAATCAGGAGATCAGTCAACATTTATAATGTTATTAAGATTATAATGAATAAACATATTTATTACTCTGTAAGAATAAAATGAGATTAAGTTATGCACATTAAATACACTCATGTCCATAAATTAAGGATAATTCGAAGTCACGCGGAAATCGAACTCTAAAATAAATATATCACCTATAAAATCACTACACATATCTTCAAGAATCATATGCAAATTTCAGGAAGTAACCAGATGACACCGATGGTACGTCACAATGACGAGAGTGTAAGAGAGTGATATGTAAGGAATACAGACAAAGAAGTAAAATTGTTCTCAGGTGCTTTATAAGCATTTCAGTGCAATAACCGAATAGTTATGACACAAAGGACATTTGGATGATTTTTTACGTGGCAGAATAATCGGCCGTATGGAATGTGGGCGTACCCAACTGGAAGTATCAGACGAACTTGGAATTGCCCAGGCTTTGGTAACGATTCCAAGATGATGGTAATGCGAGTAGACGTTACAGCACAGGTCGCCCCAGAGTTACAACGCCGAATGAGGACCGGTATTTGGCAGTTACTGCCAAAAGAAACAGGCGAAACACAGCCTCAGACCTGTCTCGTCAGCTCTCTTCAGCCACTAGTACGACAATTTCAAGGCAGACCGTGTACAGACGCTTAGGGCAGATTGGTCTATATGTTCGTAGACTTGTCAGATGCGTTCCATTTATTGCAACTCACTGTCGCCTGCGGTTAGCCTGGAGTAGACAGCATGCATTGTGGACACCACAACAGTGGGCTTGTGTGATGTTTTCCGACGAGTCCAGGTTTAGCTTGCAGTCTGATTCTCGCGGGACTTTCATATGGAGAGCTCCAGGTACCCATTGCCACCAAGAAAACAACATTGAACGACATCATTACGGTGGTGCAGGAGTGCTCGTTTGGGGTGGAATTATTCTGGGTTCCAGAACTGACCTGCATGTTCAAATTGGAACCATGACAAGCCAATCTATCGGGACGTCATTCTGGAACAACATGTACGTTTGTTTCGGGGCGCCATGGACGCACAATTTGTGTTTATGGATGACAACGGTCGTCCTCACCGTGTAAACATCGTAAGCGAATGCCTTCAGGCGGAGGACATCACCCGTGTGGACTGGCCAGCATTCTCACGGGACTTGAATCCAGTAGAGCACGTGTGGGATATGCTTGGTCGACGAGTTGCAGCCCGTCAACGTCTTCCTAGATGTCTACCGGAACTTGATTTTGAGTGGTGTAACATCCCCCAAGATCAGATCGATAATTTGATACTCAGCATGCCTAGGTGTTGTACGGACTGTATTGCATCGTCTGGGAGACATACAATGTATTAACAATCATACCAACCATGTAATATTGGTTTTTTGTAAATAGGTTTTTTTTTGTAATTTGCTCCAGGGAGAAAAAATCGCTAATTTTTTTAATAATTATCAAGCATATAGCATCTTTTTTTGCTCTTTACCTTTTGTTTAAAAAATAAGCTTTACAAATAAGTCAAATTTGTTTTGCTTCTAGCTCTTCCTTTGCCTGATTTTGCATTATCCTAAATTTATGGACATGAGTGCAGTTTCCAGCAATCATTTTTATGTTGTCAGTTTTTGTAAAATAAGTATTGAATTTCAAAAATATCAACGTAATATTCTGTAATTTTAGTTTGTAATTTGAGCTTAAATGAAGTTATCAATACACAATTTTTTCAATAAAGGAAATACTCAATTGTTTTCAATAAAGAAATGAAATACTCATTTTTTTCAATAATTGGAATACTTAGTTTTTTCAATAAATTAAATAATAATTTTTTAAAACTTCAGTGAATAAATGAACTATTTATTTTAAATGCGGAAAATAAATGTTCAATTTTTTAATTTTGTTCTTATTATTTTGTGAAGATTCTGTGTATTTAAATACTTTTAATGCTTCTAGGTGTACTCAGACAGCAACCAACGTATGTCTTTGAGAAACTTGAAAAGTGTAGTTTGCAACGCTTATAAAGTAAGTAATAATTATACATAAAAATTAACATGAATTGAACGAAGTTCCTGAAACGTAGTTTATCTTCTACACTAGACATTATATTATTCTCGAATTCCCGTATATGCACAGAAATTTGTAAAGGAATTTGTAATACTGAGCATTAACTGATTCTCAAATTACCGTGTATGCATAAGAATTTGTAAAGAGAGTACAAGAAAATACTTTTAATTTGCTTTAACCTTACATAATACTGGGTACGTTAAATCAGTAGATTTTGAAACATTGCATTTTTAAAAATACTCCACGTATATATTTGATACATAAAAACAAATTAATTAACCGTATTTTCCTCATATTCTAAAACAAGGGTTGGCAACGCGGTTGCCGAGGGCACCAAGGTACTTTCGAAGCAAATTTAAAGTGTCTTTCAGATACCCGAATTCTCGAATTCTAAATTTTAGTTCTTTGGGCAAAATATACTCGTAATTCTAATGAATAATTTTAGTGAAAATTCTTATTTTACCTTCATTGTTGCAAAAACTGATAGACTTGCACAACTAACCTTTTCACAAAAATTAAATCTCAAGGACACTTAGATATTACTACATGATTAGGTGAAATTTTCGATTGGTACAAGTGTCTGATTCCCAAGTCAGTGAACTATTTTCTGTCCCCGCGATTCTTATATACTCTTTCCAACCAAGATTGGCTATGTTTCCCATTCGTAACTTCTGTTTTTGCATAAACTTCTGAAATTATCAATTTTGATTGGAAGCAGAGTACTGTAACGAAAAAAATTTTGAAGCAGGAAACATATCACTTAACAAAATGTGTGTACACATTTCTAAAATGATTTCAGAGCAGTATAATTAACGTTTAAACTATAAAGAGTATGTTTTCAAATGTTTGATCTCAAAGCCATTTCTGGAATATATGTCTGCATCGTGATTTTGATGATAAAAGGGCTTTTCCTGGATTATCGAGGGGTGCTGATTTCCATTTCTCTTCCACTACTTTCTAGGCAGCAACGATCGTAGTGGGTTTGCGCTTCAAAAATGCTCTTTTCAAGAGACTAAAGGCATAAAACCCCATAGCCGAAACGTCAGGGGACTTTGCGCGTTGAAAAGACATGTGTGCAATAGTTGTAACAGTCTTCATTTTTTCAAGGAATTCAAAGGCACCTTTTGAAGCATGTTTGTTTGCTTTGTCTTGAAGAAATTTCACTCTTAGAAAGCCACTGAAAAAAAGAAAGGGGATTTTCTCTGTAAATAACGGATATGAAATTTTATTTTGATATTGCATTGAGTTTATTTTAATATTTTTCATCGAGTGCCACAACGCATTTCCATTTATCTTTTGCTAAATAATTTTCATGCTGGACTTCACAAAATATTCTGCGTTCAGTCACATGCCTTGGTAAAAGTTGCTGAACATTATTTTTATTATTTTTTTTAAAGTAAATTCTTGGTGTATTATTATTCTATTTATTGTTGATTCCTGCGTCTGCAAATTTCCTCTTTTTAGCAACGATTTAACTTTAGAAACCATTAGTACGTATTTTTCTGGTTATTCGTTTGAAGTCTTCTTTCTTTGTAGAAGTAATGATTGGCGGTTTTTGTCTTTACGATAAATAATGTTGCTTATTTTGCGCTTAGAATTTTAAATTCAATACATTTCACAACTTTTTCGAATTATGGATTAGAAATATTTCTCTTCGGAAAGTTCAGAAACGTGTTCTTCAATTTACACCTTTTTTACATGCGATATTTCGAAAGAAGAATAAATTTAGAAATACTAGACGATATTTCAAACTTCAAATAACAAATTGCTAACAGAAATTGTTATTCCAAATCATTTGCTTTTTTAAAATTCGTTATCGAAATTGTTTTAATAATGTGTATGTAATTCTGAGTGGAAGAACAATTTTGTTTCATTTAGTATAAAGAAAAAATATATGCTTTTAATGCAGTTAAACTACAACATCTACTAAAAATATAACTTGAAGAGAGATTTCATCACTACTTCGGTGCTCACCAAAATGATCACTACGGCGCCCGCTGGAATCTCGCATTTCTGAAACATGCCAAACCTATTAAAAAAAGATTGCCGATTCTTGCTCTGAAGCAGCGGTTCTCAACCTTTTGACTAACACTTACCATCTAAAAAAAAATTGATAAACTTTAGAACCACCATTACATTTTACAATGATTATTTTTCAATTTCTCAATAAAAATGTTTTGCCATTTTCACAAATGATTGGTTATTCGCATTAAATATGTACATATAAAAATATTAGATTGAAAATTGGTTACCATTTTAATTATCAAAATTTAAGTTATAATACTTTAATTATAAAATTTTGTGTGAAATTTGGGCCCGTTTAAGGGAGATGAATTTCTTTATGTCTGGTCTGTCTGGTTATTATTTAATGCAGGGCTTCTTAAATGTTTTTCAGTCGCGACCCCTTTCCATCACTGAGAATTTCTTCGCGACCCTAGACATTAAATATAAAATAAGGATATAAAATAAATATCCTCCCGTAAATAATTTACTGCTTTGGTAAACAATATACATATAAAAAGAAGCAGTTTTAGGATTTATTTTAAGGGAGCAAAAATTAAAGACGATTCTAATGAGACAGATGTTTCTGTTTTCTTCTGCTTAACAAAGTAAATGTTGGTGCGATATTTGATACTGCTAGACATAAAGCATCTCAAACATGTTTCAACGTAGAACGACATTTGGATTTTAATTAGTGCTAAAGCTGAAAAAGTAGTTTCATAAAAATATGTGGTGCTGAATGAGAGAACATTTAAAGTTATTTCAGAAATAATGAGAAATCTAAGTTTTAGGTTTGAATCGCTAGATAGTTTTACAAATTCCTTTTGCACTTTATATAACAGGTAATTAATCTTGTTAATAGGAATTAATGCAGTCTTTAAAAGTCTAATCTCATTAACGTCAGTTAACGAAATTTCTTTAAAAGTCTTATGAATACAATTTCTTTAAATTCAACTATCAAATTACATTTTCGCGACTCCAAAATTTCGATTTGCGATCCCATTTGGGTGTGGTGGTGGTGTATTTAATTATGGCAAAGCACACTAGGGCTATCTGCCTAAGGGGAGGGATGCCTTCGTGGAGGACTTTCTAAGGGAAACTGGCTCGTATACACATGGGGAAAACCACGAAAACACCCATGCAGCCAGCCCGTTCGCGGGATTCGAACCTCGGACCGAACTACCAGTGTTCAGCGACTTTACCGCTCGGCCGCTGGTGGGCCGATCCCATTTGGGGTCGCGACCCCTAGTTTAAGAAACTGCGATTTAATGCAAGTTATTTTTACATAGATAATATAGTGCGTTGAAAATATAACATTTGTTACGAATTTAAAAATTTTTAATGTCCTGTTTTTTATAAATTTTATAAGGAAATACCTAAATAAGTACGATATTTTTTACAGGGAGACCATGAAAAATGCCCGAAAGGTTTTTGATATTTAATTTGATGTGTTCCAATTAAAGCATTTGACCAAGGTACAAAATCATTACATTTCTTTACCAGGATGAAGTCAAGTACATTGATGTGATTCTGTATGTTTTATTTGCGTACTTAAAACAGCTACAACTGCTGAAATTTCAACAAGTGCATTGGCATTGCTGTATTTATTTTATATATGACTTACAACGTTGAATAAAGTTTTAAAAGAATACCATATTGTCTTTTATAAATTTTCAAGACATAATTTTAATGAATGTTTTAAAATACCAATAAAATTGCTTGCTATTGTAGTCTAGAATAGTCTTTTGAGTTTTAAAAGCAGTCATAGAAAAGTTGTATTCAAAGCAACTGAAAGCAAAAATTAAAAACTGTAAGATTATTAATGGATTTTCAATAAAGAACAGTTCAAAATATCACTGAAGACTCTTATATGTGTTTCATATTTTCGCAGTTAATATTTATTGAAAAATAAATCAACACATATTCTTCTGTTGATTTAATTTTTGATGAATGGTAAAGGTAAAAATTTCTGTGCACTGAAGTTATTGCCTTTAAGTGATGAGAGTAAGTTATTTGAAAACTTTTCTTTGCAAAATTCAGTGAGAAATGATGTCTTATATTATCTAACGCAGTTACGAAGATTTATGGTAACGCAATTTGAGGTTTTATTATACACATTAAGCAATTTTATAGTAATCAACTTTTTCTTTCAAATTTATTGTAAATTTATTAAGAATACTTTATTATCACATGGTTTTACTCATGTATTTAAACAATAAAGATGGTAATATTTAGTTTTTGAGCAAAGGCGCAGTTTCAAAAATAAGCTAATAATTTTATATCATGAGATAAATACGTATAGAGGACAAATTACCGTTCATCTTGCGTGCATAAAAGTTAAAATATGCATGCATGTGTAGATGGACGTAAGCTGAGTAAAGGATTCTGTATCGGCATTATTATCAGCACCAAATTTGACATTAATGTTCTTCGATATCTTAGAAAAAATACCGTGGGCTTACCACCATACGGAAGCATTTAAAAATATATGCGCGAGGAGTTCCGCAAGATTTGTCCATGAAATTACTTTTCAATTCAGTACACGAATATTTTCTGTATACGTGCTTCCTATTTGACCAACTGAAACTCATTTTGAAGCGTTCTAATACCTTCTTCTTACGATTTATAAAATATTAGACTATTATATTTTCTCAATGTATCATAGTACGACAATATAAGATCTATGTTTTCTCGATGGAATAAGTGTGCCTACAATAAAGATATCTTTTAATTACATGTACATTCTTCACTACGATTTGCTTTTGAATAGAAATTACACTTGTGGGATGAAAAATGTTGATGTTTTTGAAATACAATAACAGACATGATAAAATTATAGCTTACCAGTCCTTGATAGTAAAATCATCAATATTGTAAAAATAATTTCTTTTCAAGTATAGGTTACACTGTTCAATATTACAGAGGCTTACGATCGAGAATTTATTGATTTTAAACCTATTCAAATATCACTACAAAATTCTGCAACAAATTCATTACGTTCAACATTATATTTCTTCTGTGTTTGGTTAATAAAAAAGTATCAAACCCATCTTGGGTAACATATGGTAATGAAAGATGACTACTTGTTTTCATAAGCAAAGAATTTGCAGGATACTAACAAAGAATTTCGAGAACTGCAATGAGAACAAAAATTTGCAATATTTCTGAACTTAGCATATACACTTCTAGCCAACGTAAATGCAACACCCTTAAGGAAGCATGCAAGTAACATGAAATTTACAACATGCATTAGCGGAGGTGAGATATGCAAATGATTAGAATTTCAGCGCAGACGCACATCACCAGCGTCTGTGGTGCCACTTCAAAGCGCTATTTAAGGCTTGGAGTTTTTGACGATTTCAAGTTCTGCAATTGTGTTTTTCTTGTGGGTTTTCTTCAAAAAAATTATCAATTATGTCTCTTAGTAAACAGCGATCAACGTTTGATCAAGTATCCGAGTTCGACAGAGGAAGGATAATGGCCTACCGAGAGTGTGGATAATCTTTCAGGGAAATCGATAGTCGTGTTAGACGAAACAAAACAACTGTAATGCGAATATGTGACCGATGGATGCAGGGAGGGTACGACGGACCGACGTCTTCGATCGCATCCACCTCAGTGTACCACTTCACGTGATAACAGGAACATTGTGCGCATGGCAGTGATGGATCGCTCAGTCACATCACGAACCATAGGACAGCACATTCAGTCTGTAACGCATCATCCAGTGTCTGCGCGTACTATTCGACGCCGTTTACAGCAGACGTCCATTGCTTCATCTACCCTTGACGCAGAACCACAGACATCTCCGCCGCAAATAATGCGATGAAAGAAGGACGGTAGAATGGAATGAAATTCTCTTTACTGACGAGTCACGCTTCTGTCTTCAACACCACGATTGTCGGATTCGAGTCTGGAGACACCGTGGAGAGAGGATGCTGAACAGCTGCGTTATGCACCGCCACACTGGTCCTGCAGCGGGTATTATGGTATGGGGCGGTATTGAATATCACTCTCGCACTCCTCTAATACTCATTGCCGGTACTTTAAACAGCCAGCGCTACATCTCCGAGGTGTTGGAGCCAGTTGTCCTTCCTTACCTTCAGGGCTTGCCCACAGCCATATTTCAACAGGATAATGCGCGACCACACGTGGCACGCATTGTCCAAGGGTTCTTCGTCAATCGCAGATTGAATTGCTTCCCTGGCCGGCTCGCTCTCCGGATCTTTCGCCAATAGAAAACATGTGGTCCATGGTTGCTGAATGATTGACCCATATTACATCTCAAGCTGCCACACCAGATCAATTTTGGCAACGTGTTGTGATATCTCTTGTCTTTCTTAGTGTTGCAATTTGGGTATCCAGCAGTGTAATTAGTTTGTTAGCTTTTGTTACAATTCATTGTTGTAAAATTTTTAATACTTTGCTGTTTTCTGAACATTTAAAAGATTAATTTAAATGACTGATTCAAACAAATAGTACTTTAAGTTCAGAGGAAAATCTGTAGATTACATGATTTTTTAAAGTGATAACTCGCCCGATTCTCATAATGTCAACTATACATCCTGCACTAACCTATTGAACTGTGCCGTTGGTATTCCTTAATGTACATAATCACAATTTATTCTTCTAAATGTATAGTATATTATAATATTTACTAAAATATTTACATTCCATATGTGTAAGCCTTCTGTCACCTAGAAGATACACGTTACAGCTTACTGGTATTCTGCCACTTATATCAATAGCGGTAATATGCCCGAGATCTTGGCTGTCAGCTCCTTTTGCGTTCTATAAAGCAACTAACCTTTTTGTGGTGCGCACTCTGGTAAAAATCACTGCAATCAGAGGAGACCAAACATATCTCTTTGCTTAATAGCTGGTAAGATTTTAGAAATCCGTTTCTTCTCAGAATATATGGGTAAAAAATAACATTACACAATATCCTTTTTTTCATCTCTTTAAAAGTACAGATTTTCATTCTTGTAGCACGTAGTTTCTCTGGGTTTTTCAATGAGAAACTGCCGCAATCTGAAGCACAGGATGATGTGATCGCGGTTAATGTAATCTTTCGGATATTGTTACCGAAATGTAGATTTTCCGCCCATTTGTATACGAAAGTTACATTGGAAGTTACATTTTTTAATTTTACCTTATTATCAGAGAATGATGTTTTTAAATTGAAGTGAAATCGGCAACTGAAGGAGAAAATTGCCAAAAATTCTTAAATATAGAAATTGTGAAATGTCGCGACATAAAGGATTCAGTCGTCAAGCAGCTTGAATTAGATTTCTCGCAATCATGTACTGAAGAACCCGTTAAAACATGAAAGAGTCATTAACAGAATCCATTTTCCGAATTTTAGGAAGATCGACTGAAATCATCAGAATGAGCGAATGACAAGGCTGTTTTCTAGATGATTTTGCTTTTTTTTTGCGCCAAAATACCTCTTCGCTTGATTTAAGCTTGATAATCTTTATAAATATTCTATGCTCGGAAACGCTTATTTTTTTCTCTGCTCAGACATTTTTATCACGGATTCTAGCAAAAGGGGCAACAATCTAAGGAATAAAGTCCACTTGTAGGAATAAAAATTCTCCATGCTTCCTAGAGCTCAGTCAGCGGATTGCTGATCGTAAATAAAATATTTCTCAATTTCCCCCACGAAAATGTTAGTATCTTCTACGAGAATAAAGATTTAGGGTATAGCGTTGGTCAAAAGGAAGAAATTTATGATTTTTCAAGAAGCTTTATGAATATAAACAGTTTTCTATTTCCTGAAACATGAAGACTTTCAGAATATGAACATAAACGTTTTCGCAACAATTACAGGTATTTTACTTTTGATTATTTTTCTTCCTACTTAAAATGCTCTGAAAGTATGTATTTGTATATTTCTATTCATATTTATATTAATTTCGTTAAATTGCACTGGTATTTTGAAGGCTACTATTTTTTATTGCGAAGGCTACTTTTTTATTGCTTAATGTTAACCTTCGGTTAGTGCTATCACAAGAGTCTTGGACAAACGTGATCACATTTTAGCTTTGCGTATTGCATTTCTGCTGTGTTGCTGATAGTCTAAATCAAATGTACATCGTTTTCTTACTTTAGAAATAGAACAGGATGATGACGTGCCAATATAATAGGGGAACCGGAAAGTAATGTCACTTTCTTACATTAAATTCAAACGAATACATTTTAACAAGTTTTTATTTTTAATCAATAATATAATCACCCTCGTTATCAACAACCTTTTGCCATCTAATGTGCAGATTTTCAATCCAAGACCGATAAAAATAAATTGGTTTTTGAGTAAAATATCTCGAGAGGACATTTTGGACATCATCCAAATTTTCAAATTTTTTGCCAACTAAGAAAATGTTGTAGGGATCCGAATAAATGGAATTCCAATGCTGCGAGATCGGCCGAGTATGGTGAGTGAATATGGCAGTACCTCCCATCCTAATTCATTAATTTTTTCCAGTGTTCGTCTTGCACAGTGCGGTCTTGCATTGTCGTGTTGCAGAAAATGACGCCTTTTCTGTTGACAATTGATATTTTTCGATTGGTTCACTCCATCCAATTGTTCACAATAAAAGCCTGCATTAACAGTTTGTCCAGGTTTCAGCAATTCAAGATGAACAATTCCGC